GGAGCACGTTCAGCACGTCCTGAAGACGGAGCCCAGGTGTTCTGAGTGCACAAGGACTAGTATAGTAAGGGATATAGATGGCCATGCCTACTGTGCAACCCAAAGCAGAAAAAAATGATGAAGAAGATGCAGAATCTGCCCCTGGAGATGCTCACAGAGTATTTAAAAAGGAGCCACCCTTATTAATCAAAGGGGCTTAAACTCAACTTATAACCTTCAGATGGGGGTGGGGTGGGGGTATCGCTTAGTGGTAGAGCATATGCTCAGCATGCATGAGGTCCTGGGTTCAATCCCCAGTACTTCCACTAAAAAAGATAATAATAATAACCTTCAGATGGAGATGTCTCATGATCTTAATGTACCCAGAGCAGACTGAATCGATGCTTCAGATCTATAGTAGCAAAATAACGATGAGGAGGATGAAAACCTTTACTGAGTGTTTGCCCTGTGCTGCAGTTGGACACATATGATTTTACTGAATCCTTGCTACGACTGTTATTCTCATGCTTCTACAGATGAGGACACTGAAGTCGAGGGAGGTGAACCTCTTTGCCCAAGACATGCAGCTGGTGCCAGAGCTGCGGTCAAGCCAGCCCCGGCGGACTCTCAGGTCCATACCCTTGCAAGCCGCTGCCTGCTTTTGGCCCTGACGTCAGATCGCTGTGCCTTCCCCTCTTCCAGGAAGCTGGCTGAATCAGGCTCCTGGAGGGGCTGCGTGGGCCAGGCCCCATTCTTAACAGCGAGGAGCCTTTACTACTGACAGAGACACCAGCAGATTTCAACACTCTGATTTCCTCATCTTCCTTTCCCAGCATGTGGCCCATTGCTCCGTGACGCAGTAACAGTCAGGGAGCAGAGGTCAGGGGATGAGGTGCGTAAGGAGCTAGACTTCACCTGCTGCTTGTGCGACCACATCACCTCTCCACTGCTCCCTTAGCATCCCTTGGCAATCTCCCTCTGTGCCGCACAGAGACCTGAGCAGTCTTTTTAAAGTCTTTTCGTGGTTTCCCACTGTTCTTAGAATAGAAGTTGCACACCCTACCCTAGCCTACGAGGTCCCATGCGATGCTGCCCTTGCTTGCCTCTCCCATGTGATCCCACTCCACCAGGAGATCAGCCTACTCACTCACCACGGTTTGGCCAAGCAAGCTGGGTCCTGTTTTCGCCTCACTCTGATCAAATGTTCCTTCTCCAGAAAGGCCTTCCCCAATCATCTTTAGGTAAATTAGACTTCCCCTGCTAGCATATAACCTTTTTAAAAAAAATCAGTAATTTTTACTGGGGTAAAATATGCATAATATGAGATTTACCATTTTAACCATTTTTTAAGTGTAAGCTACAGTCACAATTTTGTGCGACCATCACCACCATCCCTCTCTGGAACCTTCATTATCCCCCAAAAAGAACTCTGCATCCACTAAACCTTAATTCCCCATCCCCTTCCTCTCCCAGCCCCAGTCACCTCTATTCTAATTTCTCTTTCTACGAATGTGCCTGTTCTAAATACCTCATTTCAGTGGAATCAACTGGTATTTCTCCTTTTGGGCCTGCCTTATTTCATACGGCGTAATGTCTTCAAAGGTTCATCCATGTTGTAGCTTGAGTCAGAATTTCCTTCCTTTTTAAGGCTGAATAGTATTCCACTATGTGTATATTTCACATGTTGGTTATTCACTCGTCGGTTGCTGGTGACGTGTCATTTCCACCTTTTGGCTACTCTGAATAATGCTGCTATGAACACTGGCATACAACCATCTGTTAAGAGTCCCTGCTTTCAATTATTTGGGGTATCACAGAACCTTTTGAACTGTCTCTATAACACTCCACTACCCAAAATTATTTTGCTTATTCGTTTGTTTGCTAACTTGATTTCCATGCCCCTCCAGGAGTCTCCTTGGATGCAGGAAACTTGCCTGTTTGGTTCGTGGTTGTTATCACAGTTGATGGCAGGTGCTCCATAAACATTTTTTTAAAGGGTGAATGAATGAATGAGTAACACTGCAGATGGGCCAGTCTGTTGGGCACAAGACTAGTCACTTCTAAAATGAGGACATGTCTGAAACACTAAAATGTTGACAGGCATTCACAGACATTATTTAAATTTTTTTCCTCTTTAAAAACGCAAATTTAAATCAAAAATGACATCCATACCTCAGTCCATGGAAACGAATAATGGCTGCCCAATCATTAAAGCATCGGGAAGTTGGAGAAATCAGAGAAATATTCTGCCGATGGTCAGTGTGTCTGCGCTGCTGGTCAGGGCAGGTGAAGGGGGGCGGTCCTGGGACAAGGGCCCAGTCTCCCCTCCCCGAAGTGAGCACATCTCTTTGCTGGCCCTGATCATCTGGACTTCCGTGAGGAGGAAGATGCTTCAGGAGAGACAGCAGCCCCTTAAACCACAATGAAACCACCGTGTCAGGGCAGCAAGGCTGGGGCACGTCCCCAGTGCCCCTCCTTACGAGTGTATGTGCACATGCGTGTGCGATATTGTATGTGATACTGTGCTTTATAATAAATATATATTTGGTCTTCATCCCTGTTTCTGGCACAGAGCTCCTAAAACCCTTAGAATTCCCCAAAGGATGCAGCAGTCTTTGGAGTTCATAACACGCCCCTTTCAACCACACCTGAGTTTGCTAATGAGGTGACTTTTGGAAAGCCCCTGAGGATGGAGGCTGGTTGTCAGGGAAACCAACCAGGATTAGAGGGTTGGAATTTTCAGGCTCACTCCCCGCCCCCCACCCAAGCTGCCATAATGAAGCCTCCATAAAACCCCAAAAGGATGGGGTTCAGAGAACTTCCGGTTGGTGAACACGTGGAGGTGCAGGGAGAGCAGTGCCCTCCTGGAGGGGCGTGGAAGCCCCTTCCCCAGCGCCTTCCCCTAGGCATCTCTTCCGTCTGGCTGTTCCTGAGTTATTTTTTCTAATGAACTAGTAAACTAGTAAGAACAATGTTTTCCCGATTTCTGTGAGCTGCTCAAGCAAATTAATGAGACCCCAAGGAGAGAGAATCATGGGTTCTGATTTATAGCTGACAGATCGGAAGCACACGTGACAGCCTGGACTTGCGATTGGCATCTGCAAGGGAGGGTGGACTGTCTTGGAAGACTAAGCCCTTAGCCTGTGGGATCTCACGCTATTTCCAGTTAGATGGTGTCAGAATTGAATTACATAATAGAACTTTCACTCGGTGTCCACTGAGTTTTGAGTTAATTGCCTGGTAGTGTTGGAAAATACACTATGGAATGTGTATGTGTGTGTATGAGTATGTGTGTGTACGTTTGTGGATGTGACTGCAAAGTGTGTATGTGTGTGTGTGTGGGGGGTGTATTTAACTGCATAATCTTCGGTCTCAGATCCAGTTCTGATTGAACTGGGCCACTTATAAACTTGAGACACTGGATAAGTCGCTTAAACTCTCTAAGCCTCTGGTTCTTTCGTCCATAAAACCAGATAAATAGAAACTCTCTGGCTGGGGACCTGTGAATTAAATGAGGCCACGGGGCCTGGCTCACGGTCAGTGCCAAGAAATGATGGTTGTCACTTTCGTCTTTTTCACTTTATTACTCAAGTTCTTGGCCAAGAAGTCTGTTGTCGGTCACCAACAAATTAAGCTCAACAAACTCTCCTCTGTTTCTATTCAGCTGGGGGTAGAGCACAAAGAGGGGACATTTGTGGAAGGAATGAGAGAAGATCTGATGCACAAACACATGGCAGTGCGGCACATTTTCTAGATGTCCTCTGTGTTGTGTGTCCGTTTCCTCACTGAATCCTCAGCTGGGCCCTGTGATATCGGCTCAGCCGGTGAGGCCGCTGGGGAGACCATCCCAGGCAGAGGAGCCAGGACCCAGCACAACTGAAGACCCGAGGAAGCGAGAAAAAGGACGCGTGTGATTCTGGAGCACAGAGTGAATGGATGCAAAGAGGGAAGGTGAGCGAGGAGCGGATGACACAAGGGTCTGAAAGCCACACTGAGTAGTCTGGGATTTCTCCTAAGGCTGAGGGTTTTAAACAAGGAAATGAGGTCAGATGTGAGCTTAAGCAGAATGACTTTTGTACATCCAATAAAAATAAACCTACAGTTATTCCAAGGAAGAATCCAGGAGAAACAGCAGTGGCCTGGGCTGGGAAGGATGTCTCTGGGAAGTGTGTCTGAGGAAGCAACAACTCCCGGGGGGGGGGGGGAACCTGCTGGGTCCTCACACTGACCACACCTGCCACAGCACCCTGGTCTCTAGGAGGTGGGCGTGGGCCGGGGGCTGGGACCCAGCAGCTGTCTGTCTGTCTGTCTGTCTCTCTCTCTCCCCCTTGCCGCCTGGAGCCCGTTGGTCTGCGCTGCAGGCGGAGTTCCAGGAACCCACACAGAAGTCAGTGGAGGGTCTGAGCATGGAGGCCACAGGGCCTCCTGGAGAAGGGAGGTCACCAGAAGTGCGGGCACCGCAGCCACTGGGAACACTGGGAACTTGTACCATGTCAGGTTTATGGATGGGGGGTTACTTTATGTTTTGTGCCCCTATATTCACTCTTCCTTTCTCCAGTGCAAACAGGTAGCCCCTTGTGATACATAGAAGATGGCCAATGATAGCCTGCCTCCTTGGCTTCTGTATTCAAAAGCCTGAACCTGAGGTTATTACCCTACAGGGAAGAGAGGATGCCAAGTGCCTCTGAGTGCAGTAAGACAGAGGGGAGCTTCCCCATGATGGGGAAGGGGGTGGAGGCTGGGGGCACATTTAACTGAGGCCAGAGGTGCCTTCCTCTAGGGGGCCACACAGGAGGGACCAGGGGGAGACCAACAGCAGCCATGGCTGGAAGATTGCCCTGGTGACCCATTTCAGACGAGAGTCTACCATACTGGGGGCTGCGCTAAGGTAGACGGGGCCACTCAACTTGCTGACAACTGAGATCAAATTTCCAGTCACCTCGACAAGAAGGTGGACTCAGGGTCCGATTTAATTAGACTTCAAGGAAATAAAGTAATGCAACATTTCTTACCCGGTCAAACTGATGGAGTAGGAATTACACCCGCCGTATGTATTAATGGGACATAATCATCACACTGAGGTTTTCATCAGGAACTGTGTGGTTGCCTGGAACAGACTTTAACTTGGCAAAGTTCACATCAAAGGGAGCTGGTCACCAAGACCTGGGGCAACCTCCAGACGTGAGCTGCAGGAAGTTCGCTGGGCTTCAGGGGAGCCAACGCCTTCTTTCCGCGTCTCTCTGAGCACATGCTCCCCTCCCACTGGCAGATCCCCATCATCCGCAGGTTTTCTCTCCCTGCTCCAGCTCTGGTCCAGCTCTCCATCATGCCCTGGGGAGGCAGGAGCATGAAATGATGAAGACCTAGGTCGTATCCTATCTATGGAACTTGGTTCCTGCATTTGCTGATTGAGGAATATTATCAATAAACGGCAACAGTGTAGACAAATTCTACCCCCACGTCCCTCCTTCTCCCTTCCCCGCTAAATATATCCAGTGTGTCTATATTATCGATGAGAGGCCCATAAAAAAGACTGTAAATAAGAGCTCGACCTAATGGCAGATATATGCTCACATGGTCTCAATGGAAGTCCTCCGCAGTATTCAGACCCCACGTAGATTCATTTCTTATATCCTTTATATTTTGTGCCGGTTCCAAGAAACACTTTATTTCATCACGAGTAGGACTTGTTTGGAATTTCTTACTGGGATTTCAGTGTATAACATATTGTGTTTACATGAACAAAATAAAATGGTTTCTTCTACAAATACTTTCCAAGTATTTTCAATAGGTGTATGATGGGAAATATATTTTTAATTTTTTTTCGCCTGAGAACTGGGCTATATCTCAACCAGCTGCATACCGTAACATGCCAAATATAGTAATTCACTGAATCTCAGTTTCCCTACCTGTAAAATGGGAATGCTAATAGAGCCTACTTTGCAGGGTGATGTGAGAATGAAATAAAGTTCACTGGGGAACAAGTTTGCAACAATGTTAGTTATTCTTCTTCATAGAATATTGCAGCTACAGGCTTCATCTTTCTAAGTGATCCAGGGCCTGGATCTCTTGGTTTAAATTCTGCAAAGAACCGATCTGATTGCTATGGAATATGTCTCTCCAGGGCCAGGAATCCTCTGAAATCTGGTCTGATTAGCTTGGCCAGGGCAGAGAGGTCATGAGGCACAAACATGGCCGTCTAGGCCACTCATGTGGCTGGTGGGGAGGGTGTTTGCTGAGAAACTAACTGGTTGGGTAGCTTTGCAATGACACGTGTGTCTGGAATCAACAGTCAGAGGGATTTAGAGTCCCAGAGCTGGAAAAGCAATTGAGATCATCTGGCCCAGTCGCTCCAACTTTATAGGTTTAGATACCGAGGCTCTAAGTAACACAGTGACCTACTTGAGGTCACACAGTGAACTGGAGGCAGAGGCTGCTCCAAAAATGCAGTTTCCTTCCTACCCATCCAGCAGGGCAGGAGCACCGACGGGCGTGGAAGGGAGCGGTAGCTGACCCTCCCTCCAAACCCCCTTCCAGGAGCCTGGGAGTTTGTCCTGTCGACAGCCTCAAAGCCTAGGCTGCAGGAAGTATTCAGCCTCCTGGCCCTTTGCTGCCCAACCCTGGCTACCGGATTAACCAGATTCCACCCATTCCACCCAGCCAAGCAGGTCTGACCGGCATCTGTGCTCCTTCCTCTGCACCTTTGCTCAGTGAGCAGCTTCCTTTACCTGGAAGGCCCTCCTCCCCACCCATCTGAGTTCCACTGACGGCCTCCGGCAGATGTTCCCTAGGGCATGCCCCGTCACACCCTGACCTCCCAATTCCTGTGTCTTTTCCTTTCTCGTCTGCCCCAGCCAAGGAGCACATAATCACATAGTCCCTGCTGATTTTAATTTCCTTATGCGTTCTCTCTCGAGCTTAGAAACATTCCCGACACATTTTGCTTCGGCGAAGCACCCAGTGCTCAGTAAATATTTGTTGAAGGAGTGAGTGAGTAGGTGAGTGAGTGATTGGGCAAGCAAACAAGTGAATGACAGAAGTGATGGTCAGTGGGACCCCTCCTGCCCTCAGAACCCTGTGAGTTGGACCAGCAGCAGCCTTCTTGGGCCCCGGATTTCCTGGGAAAGGTGGCGAAGGCCCTGGTTTACCCGGGGACAGCAGCCGGTCAGGGAGGACTCGCCAGGATGGGTCAGGCTGGGAGTTCCACCAGCCACTGCCCACTGAGACTTACAAAGACCCTGTCATCACACCCATTTCACCAATGAGGAAACTAATTAAGCCGGGTTTACCGGAGAGCAGAGTCAGAGAGGTGGGTGACTGGCCCAAGGCCACTCAGAGACCAGTTGGGGAACCTCCTTTCCCCGCCTCCTCTCTGACTAACCGCCTCCTTTCCACTGCCCTGCAGGGAACTCCCCTTCTAGCGGGTCGGCTCTTGGTTTCCACACATGCCCTTCTTTATTTGGCCGCCCAGCCTCTGCTCAGGACGTCCCCCCGACCTTGCCTGAATGCCCTTTCCCCACCTCAACTTTCCAAGGCCCTGGCCTGGCAGGACCCAGCCCAAATCTCGCTTCATCTTGAAACTTCCCCAGGTCTCCTCCAATCTGAATCAACTTCTCCATCCTCCGCAAAGAATCTCTCTCTATATCATGCTCTGATTTAATACTTCCTTAAATCAGAATACAAGGAGCCGAGGGTACAGCTCAAGTGGTAGAGCACATGATCAGCATATACAAGGTCCTGGATTCAATCCCCAGTACCTCCTATAGAAATAAATAAATAAGCAAACCTTATTACCGCCCCCCCACCACAAAAATAAATAAATACTAAAAAAAAAAAGTTAAAAATTAAAAACGGCCATAGGCAGTTAATTAGGCAATTGTAATAAACAGCTTAGAGTGATGATAGGAAAAGCCCTCTTCATGGATGATTATGGGGCAAAAAATATATATAAGTGTTTGGCACATCGTGGAAGCTCAGACCATACTTTCTGGGGTGAAACGGTGTTCCACAAATTTTGGCAGACTGACGGTGTGAGTGACTGAGCAAACAGGTGCCCCACCTCTCACTGGCGCGGAGAGGACTCACTTCAGTGCGCTGGCCCGCGAAGTTCCCAGCAGGCAGCGGGGCCCCCAGCAGGTGCCTGTAACCTGCTCACTGGCATGAACTGGTCTCAGGCAACGCCGTCCCCTAGGCCACGCCCAGCCTGCATAGCTGAGCTTCCTGAACGGGGGGAACGCCAACACAAGGGCCCCAGTGGGCCGGGTGCCAGGGAGCTGCACCAGAAGGGGACAGAGTCTGTGGCCCTGCCCGCCCACCCTCAGCCCTGCCAGCTCAGTGGCTGTCCTCACTGCTCCGGCTGCCCTGGGCCGAGGTTTGGGGAAGAAAAAGGAGGGAAAAAATCAAGTTCAACCAGATGACTGAGCTGTTCTTTTAATCAACACTGGTAGAGCCCTGGGGCTGGGGTCATGAGGTGTGGCTGCAAACTAGGCCAGGGTGACTTGTGGTTCTAAGAGCACAGGCCTCAGATCTGGGTTCAGAAGTACTGATCTGGGAGGGGACCAGTTGCTGTGACCCTGGGCCAGGCCATCTCCATCTCTGAGGCTCAGATGTCTCACTTACAAAATGCAAACAATACATTGCCATATGCTAAGCCACACAGATACTGACTTGGGACAAGTTTTTACCCTTGTGAGACGTAACAGGAAAGATAATGACAATGACATGTACATATCTGTATGTGCAGATCTCTCTCTGTCACCGTATGTAGACAGACAGATAGACATAGACAGTGACACAGACATCACCATGATAGGTTTCCAATTGCCCTCCCTTAAGAAGGATCGGCCTTTATTCTGAGAAAATATCTTTCCTCTATTTTTATCATTTGGGGGTTGAAAAGGCTAAGGGCCTTTGTTCTTCGGTTCCCCCTGCCTGGAATCCTTCACCCACCCATCTGTCCACCCACGAACTCACTCCCTGATTAGTTTCAGAACTTTACTCGAACATCAGCTCAGGAACACCTTCCCTGACCCCTATTTAAAATTACAGCCCATCTGAGATGTGCGCTGTCCCCCTCCCCCGACCTGGTTTTCCTCCATGGTCCTCACCGCCATCGGACCCATTATTTATTTCCTGGTTTGGTCCATTGTCTGTCTTTCACCAAGAGGGCAGGGATGTCTGTCTGCCTCGTTCATAGCTATATTCCAGGACCTAAAATAGTGCCTGGTACCTAGTCGGCCCTCAGTAAATATATGCCATGTGAATAAACAATTGAATGAATATTTGTTTTTTAATATGTTTCTTCGACAAGATTCCAGGTGAGCCACTCACTTTTCAGCTCCCCAAACTGAGCATTGGAATTTTGCTGGTCTAGGAAATCTTTAAATCCCTGAGTAAATGTAAGTAAAAGTTTTGATAAAAGTCCCTAAATGTTAATAATGATGCCCCTGGTCCCCCTGTTCCTCTCCCCCGTCTCTTCCCCTCCCTCCCTCTCTCCTCCATCCTTATCTGTCCCTCACCAGGACTGTCCCCAGCCCAGCAGAACTCACAGGAACCCTCTGGTCTCTCGATTTGCCTAATTCACTTATTTTCTTTAAAAATCTTGATTGCAGGCCTGGCTTGGGAGAACCAACCAGGCTGTAAACAGGCTTGTAATGAAAGCAGGCCTGCCCAGGAGACCTGGAAACCTGTATCGGCAAGCCTGATCGAGATCTGACTGCGTTTACGATCCCAGGTCACAGATGAAATAAATGGAAGGTTTCTGCTGGTTTGCTTACTTCTCAATTCTGGGCCTGCTGTTCAGGGAAGTCCAGGTGCTCAATTCTGAGGATCCCTGTGGCCCTGGAAGTGCAGCACCAGGCAGGAAGGCCTCGGGAAGCTGCTGAGCAACACCCGTTGGCCTGAGGAAGGGCAGGATCGGTGTTAGGACCCTGGGCCAGAGCCAGAAGGAAGGTCAGAGGTGAAACAGACCCTGTCATTTTTGCAGCTGGGAGACTGAGGTCCACAGAATTCTGGGACTGACTTGAGATCTCACTTGGAAGAAAGAAAACCAAGAACCTGATGTTTTTTTCCCGATTCCCTGTCCAGCACCCACTGACCAGGGCAAAAGGGACTTCAGCCCTGGGCCTGGCAGTTCAGAAGACCCCCCCTCTGGCCCTCTTCCTCTCCCATAAGTGAGGAGTCTTGGGGGACAAGAAGATGTGCCCAGTTGGAGCCCATGCACCTCCCCTCCAGGTGACCCTCCAGGTTCCCAGGAGTCTGGGATTCCTGGTTAAACGTCCCGGCCCGCTTCTCAGGCCTCGGCAGGCCTCTGCCCCATCCCACCTTCCCTA